GTCAGTCCTGATCTAGAGATCCCAAGGAACATAGAACCTCCCCCATCCCTGTATGTGTCATTCCAATGGTTAATTCTGCTCACAGCCCACAATAGGAAATACATTTGTAGTCTGAATATCTCCAACCTCAACTTCCAGCCCCAGGATCCTTTGGTCCTTTTCTGCTCAAGTAAAAACCCTCTAGAGCAGTGCAGAACACCTGTAAACTGTTGCTGCCTACCCCTGGAGCATTTGATGCTGCCCTTGCATGTGGTGCAGGACCCTGGTGAATCAGGTCTGCAAGAAACAGGGTTGGTTTCCATCTCTGCGACCTATTTCCAGTGTGATCTTGGGCAAGATCACACATTTCCAGTGTGATCTTGGGGCCCAGCTGAATCTCTCTGGGCCCCAGCCCCCTCAGAAACACACCCTTGGATTTCTTTTCCCATGAACATGCTGGTAGAGAGTGATCAGATCACCTCTTGGCCTCCTCTGCTGTTGTCTTCTCATGTCCTATCCTCTGCCATAAACTAAATAGAGGTTAGTCTGTCACACCAGGTGGGTTTTGCAGATCTCAGATAATCCCCGTACTCATCACAGAGCCTTTTCCTATTGTCCACATCCTCTTCAAAGTTGGGATCCTGTGATAGACACATTATTCGGGAATGTGCTGGCTAAGGTTGTGTACCTGTGGAAATCAGTGTGTTGTCCAATATACAGAAAGTATTTTGAATAATTGCTTTTGCTGGGGCCAGTTCTCTATTGACTTTGGTGCTACCCCAGCAGAGTGCAACCCATTGTCACTATGGGTTGCATGTGGATCTCTGCATGCGGTGCATTATATGAAGGCATCTCCCACAAAGTAGGATAGTTTAGGCCAGTCCAACTTGTTCTGGCTCATTTACCTTTGGTGCTGCTGGTTCAAGTCTTTACAGCAGCAGAAGTGGACCTTGTGGCTTGTTAGTGTCCTGAGTGTAATGAGTTGTCAGGTCTTACTCCAGCATCTCCATGTCCCTGTTGGTGGCCAACAGCTGCCATCCTGTTGGTGGCCAACAGCTGTCATGATCAGAGACTTGCAAGGCAAGCCATATGAGGAAAGGGTGAGGGACCTGGGCTTCTTTAGCCTAAAGAAGAGAGGGTTGAGAGGGGACTTTATAGTGGCTTACCACTAAATCAGAGGAGTCCATCAGGAGCTCGGTGAGCAACTGTTCACTAGGGCAACCCCAAAGAAGACCAGGACCAATGGATACAAACTCCTGGAAGGCTGCTTCAGGCTTAATACCAGGAAAAACTCCTTCATGGTCAGGGTGTCCAGACTGTGGAATAAACTCCCTCCAGAGGTGGTGCAGTCACCTAACCTGGAGGTTTTCAAGAGGAGACAAGACAGTCACCTTGCTGGGGTCACCTGACCCCAGTTATCTTTCCTGCTTCGTGCAGGGGGGGCTGGACACGATGATCTGCGAGGTCCTTTCCAGCCCCTAACAATTTATGAATCTATGAATCCCTGGAGGCTGAATTGTTTTCTAAGCCCTGGAAGGGAAGGAGGGGGGTTCTCTCTAGGTCAGAGTTGAAGCCTGTTGTCAAGGAGGGGAGGGAATAGAGCCTGTGTTTTTCCTGTCCAGGAGTTAAACAGACCCTATGAGTGTATAGGATTCCCTGGCAGCAGGGTGACAAGGTGTCATACCATAGCCATGAAACTTGTGTACCCTATAGTGGGGCTGTGCACTTCTGCAAAGGGGCTGTTGCCCTTTATGTTGAAGAATAACAGTGACTGCTGTCAGGCCAGCCCTCCACCATTCTTTCCTCCAAACCTTCCAGTCAGCAGGGAAGAAGGGGACAACTCTGGATTCACCCAGGAGCTGAATGCGACCTACTTTTGCACAGATACCCCCCTGCCTCTCCGGCAAGTTGATGCAAAGGCTGGTAGGTGCAGGCTGGTACAGAGCCACAGCTAGGGACCGAGCAGAGAAGGAGCAAATGGCCTCAGCAGTGCGTGCTCGCTCGCTCGCTCGCTCGCTCTCTCTCTCTCTCCCTCTCTCTCTCTCGGGACTGGCCTTGACTTTGCTTGTTATATAATCTGTCCCCAGCCAATTAGGGAGCCTTGTTTGCCTGAGATCCTTGGACCCCTGCTCCCTCCCTCCCCCATCCCTTTTGATGCCTGATGGGTTCTAGGATTTTTATTTCCCTCCCTGTGTTTCCTGCGTCATCCCAGAGGGAGTGGGGGGGAGTGAAGGCAGGAAGAGATCCATCGCCCTGCAGAGCCTCCGCCTGGGGAGGCTCAGAAGACGAAACAAAACAATGTCACGCGGTGCAGCAAGAGCTGCTGGGAGCCGCAGGAAGGAGGGGTCAGGGAAATGCCGGGGCATGGCAGGCACACAGAGCTTGGCGCTGATCTCAGAGGAGCTCTGTTCTGCCTCTGTGCAGCGCTGCAGGGCTGGGGCCCGTGGCAGAGACCCTGAGGCACTGTCATAATATGTATTAGATGACTGTTGTAAAGCAGGAGCCAAGTCTTTCCTTGCAAAGGATAGCGGTGCTGACTGCTGCTTTGTAACAGGGCAGGAAGTTCATGTTGCTCGAAGGTGTTGCATTGATGGTCCTGGGGGCTGAGGTGTCCTTGTGTCCCCAGGGTAGGGACAGTGCAGACTATGGCTGCGTAAACTCCCCCCTCCACGTATAAAGGCCTAGGACAGACTCTCTGTTTAGGGCCCCGGTTCTCAAAGTTTTTAGACTCAAGGCTCCCTTCAGAAGGGGCCAGCTCTTAGCTTTTGTGCTTTTTGTGATCTTTCAGTCACTCTTTTTTTTTTTTTTTTTACTAGAGAAAAAATAATAGAGCAATTCTTTTGTGGCAGAGAACCCAGAAACACTCTGGCCTGCTGTGGGCTATTTGGAATCCTATTTGAAATCTCTGGGTTTATTGTGAATCCTGTGTAGGCAGGCATTTGCACACCTGACAGTGCTAATATTATATGGCACCCTGCAGCACCCTTAAAAGCATCTCAAGGCACCCCAGTGTGATGTGGCACCCTTCATAGAATCATAGAAGTAGGGTCAGAAGGGACCTTGTAGATCTTCAAGTCCGACCCCGTGCCTGGGCAGGAGGAAAACAGCTCAAATGACCCCAGCCAGGTAGGCATCAAGCCGCTTCTTAAAGACACCCAGGGTAGGAGCCTGCACCACTTCCCTTGGAAGTTGGTTCCAGATCCTAGCCGCCCTAACTGTGAAGTAGTTCTTACAGATGTCTAATCTAAACCTACTCTCCAACAACTTGTGGCCGTTATTGCTTGTTATCCCGGGGGGCGCTAGGGGAAACAAGGTCTCCCCCAAGCCCTTCTGGTCCCCCCTAGTGAGTTTATAGATGGTCACCAGGTCCCCCCTCAGCCTTCTCTTGTGAAGGCTGAACAGGTTCAGGTCCCATAGCCTCTCATTGTAGGGT